AACCTACTGGAGATTCAGCCTTTGGACACCTATGGAATCTTCTCACCTGGCTTGCTTTTTTCATGGTATTTGTAGGAATGACCTTCTCTCTGAAACCTCACTGTCTCCATTAAACTTAATTAAAAAGTGGCTTAGCCTCCATGAAAGTAAAAAAGGAGGAGTTGAGTAACTAGCATTCGTAGGGATATGTGCATGCTGCTCACAGAAATTTTTTTCCTTAGGAAACAGAACAAGTAATGTTTTGCTGTGCTGTTCTGAAGAATTGTGGGTAACTGTAGTTTATATTTACCCCAAGAATAAATCAGTTTGGTGAATTTTGTTGATACTGTTTTACATTTCAAGTTTTCATTTGAGAAGAAGGTGGCAGGGGCAAGGCATTTGACAGTGGCAGTGTCCTCTGCATGTTGGTGTTAACAGGCTGTGCAGGCTCCCGGTGTCAGAATAGGGGTCATTTGCATCTGATCACTTCCAATATCTGACTGCAGACCAGAATTTCATAATTTATTGTCAGAGCTGTTATTTGGAGTCTTTTCTGGTTCACAGTGAAGCCTTGCTTCATGCATTTGACAGAACAGATTGAAAGGTTGACAGAGTAAAAGGCAAATTTTCCAGTATGCTTATCTTGAAGTAGAACATCTGGTGTGTCAATTTTACAGGAAGGGCAATAGAATATAACTAATAGGATTTGTAGTGGAAGTAACAAGCAGAGATATTGAAATTTTTTGTGTGTCTAAATGAATAATTAGTGTTATTTGTGCTGTTCTTAAACTGGATTTTTGTAGTGTTTATTCCAAGAAAGAAAGGAAGAAAGAGAGAAGCCAAAGAAAATTGTTATTGTGTTTTAAATACCTGTTTAAATAAATTGTAACTTTTCTCAGTGACCAGCAAAAAATTAAGTTCAAGATGGGTCACTTAGGCTTCAGAACTTAAAATTATGAAGAGAAGCATGCACACAGACCATGTACTTTCCCTTTGTTAATGGATAAACAGAATACAGGAGGCACTAATTATTTACAAAATGTTTTGCTAGTCCTGTTTTTCTGTGGTTAACATAACCATGAAGTTTTCTCTCTGCATCCTGAATACCTGGATATTTCATCAGTGGCACTTAAGCACAGAAATACTCCTCTGACAGGCTTTGCTGGATGCGGTGTTCAAGTTTTGTGTAGGAAGCTGATATTTGTTGGTTATGGAAATATTTAGGTGCAGGAACTACTTAATTATCTGTCTCTCTTCAGAAAGGCTTTTATAACACTACTGCCTTATAGCTGGCTTTGTAGTATGCAACTTCCCAAGACACTGTTTGAATGCAACCTGACAAAAACCAAAAGTTAATTATGTTTGAAGAATGCAGCGTTTTGCTCTGTGTAAGCTGGAGACAAATGACATTATTTGCAAAGAGGTGTGTAGATCTGTCAGATTTTTGGAGAAGCCTTTTTGGTTGGTTTCTACCACAACACCATGTTCTGTTATGCAAAATCTAGCTAGAGCTGGTTTCTTCCTAGATTAATGCTCCTGTTAACCACATGGTTCCAAAAAGCGTGAGAGTCTGGACCTGCCAGAACAGGATGAAGACCTAACTGGGAAAAGAGAAAGTATAGCAGTAATATACTAGCAAGTATTCTGTTTGGAATGGGACTGGAAAATGGGACAGGACATCTGCTATTCCTGTCATATCTGCAAATGTCTGTTAATGGACTTCATCTTCCTTTTAGGTGTTTCACTCCTTAGTGTATGTAGATGGCTAAATGTTGATCAGTGCTTTAATTTGAAATGGAACTTTTGTTTCACTCTGGCATTACGCTATTAAGTAAGAGGTTTTCAGCCTGTAAATGTGTGTAAATTTAATTGTTTTCTACCCAAATGTGGTGTTAAATTCTTGGAAGTGTGCTTGTGAAGTGTTTCCTTTAATAGCATTGAGGACTAAGCTGATGAATTTTTTTGTGAGTTACTCGCGGCCATCCCTTCATTTTCTGTTCTGATTAGAAGACTTTACCTTTCGTCTTTGTGGAGGCAAATACAACATGCTGCTTGTAGCTTGAGAAGCAGGAATGGTCTCAGTTCACTCTAACGGAAGAGTTGGAGATGATGTAGTCTCTTTGGAAACACAGAGTTAGTTCTACATCTCTTTACATACCTGCTGAGTTTTTGATTACTGACTTCTTTAGGATATTGCAAGACAGGAAATAAATACCTCCTCTCTGATTCATAGTTGGTTAATAACCTGGAGTAAAGGGACTTCACTTAGAGCTGCTTGATAAAATACCTTGGTACATATTTGCCCTGGAGGAGGTTCACTCATGTGCCAACAATATTGGCTAAAGCCCAGTTTAGATTGCTTAAAATATTCGCAATCTCCTTCCCTTTTTTTACTCATAAGTGTAAACGCTTCCTACCTATGGTGGATGACTGAATAATGAAATTGTTGTGAGAACAGGGGAATGGAAGGAAAAGACACTGGGATAAAAAGGACTTGGTTGTGTACTTCATCCTCAGACCTGCTTTGCAGGGACCACCTCAGAGTCTGGGGTGTGCTGGAATGAATGGAGATGCTCAACTGTTTCAACACTGAGAAAAAAAATAATTATGAAATCCACTAAAATACTAGTGACCAAAGAGGATTGTTACATTGTGTTTTGTTTATTTAGCAAGAATACAGAGGGAAACTTTGCCAAAATGGAGACAGATGAGGTTTGATTTTTCTTTTTCTGCATCATCTCACGGGTGCAGATTGCAAGTTTGATTTCATTGCTAAATTGGAATTAAGATGTGATCACACATTTAGTTGTATGTCTTCTTATTCTTATAATCTCCATTATCATGGGCTGTGAGGTTGGATTCTTCCCTTCAAATTCAGCTATTTACAGTACAGACACTGTCTGGGAAGTGTCTCTCCAGACTCTGCTTTTGGTAAAGGAGAGAATTTGCTGCTTCTGGAAGTGTGATCCATCTCATTACAATGTACTAAAGAGGCTGGATGAATTGAAAATAGAACAACAGAAGTTCCTATTGCTCTCCATTGACTTTGAAAATAATGTGGAAAAGCAGCTCAAATAAGGTTATTTGTGTTATAAGTGTAATGGTAGAGAGGGTCAGTGTGATCTTGAATTACACATAAGTATAATTCTGGAATTATATATAGTTTGTGTAACAGAAGTGTAATTGGGCATTATGGTGAAGGCACAGGCTGATAAAAGTGGTAACCTTAAGAAAACGGAATAGTTTATTACCTACATGGTAAAACAAACAAACAGAAATCCTGTCCACACAGGATTGTCCACAAACAAACACACTTATATATAAGTCTGTACCAATTTTTACTTACTAAAACTGTAATTGAAAAAATAGAGATATTCTTGCCTGAATGCATATTTTCTATTTGTATCTTACACTCTTTTTCATTATCTGTAAGAATAGCATCCTGTTAAATGATTCAGAGTACAGATGTCAATTTGAAGACAATAAATTTTTGCAAAAGTGTTCAGACAGTATCTGTTCAAGTGACAGATTTTGGAAGCACTGGAGTACAAAAATATGTATCTTGACCAACAATTTTGATAAATGTCAATTCTCGTGGAAGAACTGTGGTTCAAAAAGGCTTTTCCATGTTATAGAGTGGAACTGTGAGGCTGTACACTGGCTGAAATTATACAGATGCTTTGATGCATATTCAGTTTTTCCCCTTTAAAAAGTTATTTTATTGAAGTTAAATTATTGTAGGGATATAAAAAGGTGTCGTTTGCTCTGAATTTATCCTTGGAGGGCCAGAAAATCATTGCTTTTTCTCTGAAATTAGATCGAAGGATCCAGATGGCAGATTTCAAGTCCATCAGGTGTTTAAAATATGCCCCTCCGCTAAAAAGAAGTATTATAGTTAAATCTGTCATGGCCTTTTTATTGCTCTGTGGTACACTTGACAACTGCAGCTGTGAAAAGGAGAAGCTACAAGTAGCCCAGTCAGCCTGAAGTGGAGTAGGTCAGTGGTTGGTTTCTTCAGCTGCCCCAGGGAGTTTAATGAATGCACAGACCTGGTTTATGGAATCATTAATTCTATCATGGTATAAGCTCCCATGAAGACAAGGAATTTGTCCTCATTCTTCCAGACACTAGAGGCATTAGAAAAGTAGCATAAGTGAAACATGCAGGGGAGAAACAAGGAAATCCTCCCCACCCCCAACAAACAAGAATTCCACATCTCTAAGGAGTCGTCAGTAATAATAACAGCAATAATAAAATGCATCTGGTCTGGTGCCTTGCACTGCATTTCTCAGCTGGCACTCATTCAGATCTGTCACATTAGGCTGAGTACTGATAATTTGTATCCCAGAATCCTTTTATCTGAACAGAGCAACATCTTCAATGTGTATTTTGGCAAAGGAGATGCACTGCTTTTCAAATCTCTTTAAAAAACAATATAGACTTTTCTTTGCATCTTGACAAATTGTGGCTTATTATGACGAAAGAGTAACCTGTTTGTATTTTTGTATTAACTATAAGTATTTGCAGTTAAATCAGCGTTCAGCACAGGGATGATTACTGAGTGATGCAGAGAAAAGGGTATGTTTGGGTTATTTATTTGCATGCATTTGCAGATGTTTATATAGACACTGATTTGGGAAGGCTGATACAATTTTGGCTTCTTTGCTACTTCTTCTTTCTTCAATTAAAAAAACTCCACCCAAAAAAGACAGACTCTTTCTTTGTTTATTTTTCAATAAACCATAGGAAGATAGCCTATAACTGGGTGGGTAATAGCAACTGACTTATTTTGTAAAAAAATAGAGCAAAACCTTTTTCAAAAAAGTTGTATGATCATACATAAGCATAATAAGTCTCTGATAGCTCTGGTGAATTGTAAGGGTCATTTTTGAGAGTAAATGTGCATGGCTGGGGTGAAATGAAGTGCCATTAGTGATGCCCTTTCATATGAGAATGTCACCCTGCAACAAGGTCATCCTGAGATAACTGTGCTTATGTTTAAACTCTTCCTGTGATTTCAGATTCCAGCGAGGTGACTACCACATTGATGTCTGCATCAATGACTACCTGGATGTGTTCTGCCCTCACTATGAAGACTCCGTGCCAGAAGATAAGACCGAACGCTATGTTCTGTACATGGTGAACTTTGATGGCTACAGCTCCTGTGATCACACTTCCAAAGGGTTCAAGAGGTGGGAGTGTAATAGGCCGCATTCCCCAAATGGACCATTGAAGTTCTCGGAGAAGTTCCAGCTCTTCACGCCCTTCTCACTGGGATTTGAGTTCAGGCCAGGCCGGGAGTATTTCTATATCTGTGAGTATAGAGAGGTTTGTCGTTGATGCACAGCAGATATAAGAAACACAGCTAATTTTTCACCTATACTCTGTGAAAATACAGAGGGGCAAACGGTATATAGTACAAACGCCTTACAGTGAACACAGGCTTAAACTGTCACCAGATACATTAGCTAGAAATGTAGCTAGTGAAAATGACATTAAATCATATCTTCTTTTCTCACATGAAATAGCATGGCAGCCTGTTCACTGAACCACAGCTGACTTGTAGAGCAAAATGCACCATTACATTTACTTCAGCATTCTGAGTTGGGGCCAGAAGGGGAGGATATAAATTGTCCCCAAATATGAGGAAAAATAATTAATCCTTTGTGTGTGGAATACCTCAATTTTCTTACTTGCTTTGATGAAATACTGTTGTCTCTGAAGTTTTTATCACCCAAGGAAAGTGAGGTCTGTGTACTTATTGTAGATATTATGCTGCTGATGTCAGTAATCCAGTGGTATTTAAAACTGTACTTTTTCAGGCCAAATAATCCTAGTTTTTAGCTAGGTGGTTTCTTCCTTCTACCTTCCTTTCCCCAACAACTTTTTCATGGATGAACTCTTTCTGTCAGCATGGAATGGGAGTGCTCTGGGAGCAGGAGGCAAGCAGGTGAGGACATCTGCATTAGGACTGCTCCAGGCACCCAGACAAGATGCAGGAGACATCACATGGGAAGTGAAAACACCAGGAGGTTAAAACACAGTGGGTTGTGCAAACTGGTTCCCTGACTCCACTGTGCGAGTCATATCATTTCAACTATCTCATGTGTTTAATACTCCCAACAAAGATCTTATTTCATCAACTCATTTTTGTACCTGTAGCTTTCACTCCTAACAAGTTTTGACCCCTCCAGCTTTATTTTGTTTTCCTGCTTTTAGTTTTAGACAACAGAGTTGAAAGCTTTACATAGACTGCAGATTCCAATAACTATTGCTTTCATATGGGTAGCTGGCCTTTTTACTGTGAAACAGTCATTCCACCTCATTTCACCAGTGAAACTGAGTATGTATGATCCCTGTTTTCAGCCTCATTTCTTCAACATTGAGATTTTTGTTTTCCCTTCCATAATCTACAGGGAAATAACAGTCTTAGTGGATAGTTTCCTATTAATTTCTTTTTCTTCCATCAAGTAAAAACCTCTAGTGAGTAGTGCTTTTTTACCAAAAAAACTGTGCTTTGTTCTTATGCTGAAACACAATAATAACAATAATACTAAAATAATATTTTAAACAATGTTATTTAAAACTGGGGCTTTAGCTGAGAAATAGTACAAAGATATCAGAGTTAAGTAGATAATGTTCAGGGATAAAAAAATCTGTGCTGTGTAGGCCCAGTCCTATTTGTGTCACTTCAGCAAGAGTTCTGTGTAATTCAAAATTCTGATGTCAGGCTCCCTTGGTATTGTGCAAATTTTTTGTGGGTTTTTTTGTTTTTTGTCATTTTTTGAAATTCAGTTCCAGGGCATCATCAGTCAAATAAGCAGGAATGGTTAAGCAAAGGAATGCAGTATATCATCACAAGGTGCAATAAAATGTAGTACTGGAATGGTGTCATTAGCTGCAAGCCTGACAAAACCCCCCGGTTTTCTAAATTTTTTAAAAAGAAAGAAATATAAATATTTAATGAAGATTAAAACCAAAAATACCAGTGAAGGGAAAAAAAAAATGGAAATCTCAACTTGGCTGTCTAATAGCATCATTGTCAGAACATACAAAATCCATCGAACTCTCAAGCAAGATACTGTAATTTAAATATACCTAGGTTGCTTATGCCTGGTTTTCCTCATTTGTGCTCAAATTCAATAAGTCACTAAAAATCACATAACTTTCATTAAAAATCTGTAACATTCATTTAAATGTCAAGGACTCCCTTCAAAACAATTGTTCTGAAGAACTTTATAATTTGAAGAAATTTATGATATTCAACTGCATTCATATGGATTTTTTTAATGAAAGGAAAAAGATAAAAAAATAGCAAAGAGAGGTAAAATATTAGTTTAAGTTAAGCTTAGATGAAATTGAATTTTTGGTCATGTTTTAGCAACACAAAAGCATTTTTCCTTCTTTTCTGCAGTTTAAGTATTTTTTTTCCTTCATCCTTTGCTTTGCTGAGGGAATTAACAAGGGTATTGACATTGCAGAAATTTTAGAGAAGCACTGTACAATAAGTTAATAATAATATGCAGACCTTCTCAGGGCAGAGTTGTCCATCCTGTAATGTTTTTCTCTTAGTCTATGCTGAAGAAAGAAGATGGTGCAATGTTGTTCCTTGTTTCCTCATCAAAATTAACAGCAGGTGTTAGTTCAGGCACTGGAGATCACTTTTGTTACCTTTCTGCATCTCCACATTAAAGAAATTAGTGCTTTGCCATGAAAGGTGTCCTTTGCTCAGCAGATCTGAAACCTTTGTCCTCTCTGCAGGAGAGAGGGAAAACTGATTCTATAGGATCAGTCTGGCATGTTCTATTCCAGGGTTACAAAATATGCTGTGTAGTGAAAAGACAGAAATATGAAGTGGCTGGGTAGCTTTATTACTGTCTGGTGTTCTGTCAAAAATATTCACAGTTTACCTTTTAAGGATGTGGCTTGCTTCTCTTGCTTCCATTATTTTCAGAAAATGAAATGATTTGTGAACAATCACTGTCTCTTTGTCTGAACTGTTAATTTGGAAAATACTACCATTCCTTGTTATGCCATTGCCTTCACATATTGTTCAGATGAACTTGGATCTCCATTCTTTGCATGTTCATTCTAGGATAATGCAAGGAAAAAATCTTACCCATCTGATACCAAATTTACATTGAGCAAGTGAATTCAACATTACAATCATGCAATCAAAAGCAGTGATTAAGTTTGCTTTTGAAATAAGTAAAGGTTATTAAATATTTACAGAGAAATTAACTTTTATTTCATTAGGGTGTGCGCAGTGTGGGGCTGAGGAAAGCAAATAATGGATCATGACCTGAAGTCTCAATTTTTAGTTAGTTCTTATCAGGTTCTCATCTCAGGTTAGTGTACGCCAGCCTGAAAACAAACAAAATAGTATTACTGCTGAAACAGAAGCAAATGAAATACAGAAAAAGCAGAAACAAAATACTGTCATGACAGTGATTTTACTGTCCTTTGGAAGGGAACGTAAGTTTTGGTATTCATGTTAAGATGAGGTACTGTGCAAGGTAAGATGAACTCAAAAGCTAGGAGCAGAAAAAATTCCTAAAATGTAGAATGTTACATAATTATATGTCCAAAATTGATAATATAATTTCCATTATTTTAACTTAATTGCACATGTGTTAAGTAAAAGTATAAGAGACAATTTGGGAAATACACATCATGGCTGTTGAAATAAAAAGGAGGAGGATATGTCTAGAGGCAGGCTGGTACAGATTTCTGTAGAATCTTGACCTAAGTTTCCAAACCAAGCTGTTTTGTTGATTTAAGCTAGAGCTTAAAAACTGTTCTTTTCTTGAAAGCACCAGTGTAGTATCAAAAGTTATACTAACATTAGGGTGTGGTACATGCTTTTCTCTGAGTCATCAGTGTAGTTATTTCAGAGAAGAATTCAGTAATTTATACTTCTCTATGGGTAAAATATCTATGACATTTTTATAATATCCTCCAGGATTTTATGTATATTGTTTATTTAGTAATTATATCACTGTGATCTTTTCATTTATATATGCCTATACCCTTTTCCTAGAATGACAAGGTAGATTTGCTCTTATTCTCAGTTCTCTACCTTGTTTTCTGTTTTCCACAAGATTCTGACAATTTTTGCTAACAGTAAGCAGGCTTTACTTTTATATATCTAGACATAACTTGTGGGTTTTTTCCTCCATTCTTCTTGAGAAAGGAGCCCCTTTCATATTTTAAAAATCCTTATGAAAAGGTAATAATCTGTGATTTATTTGTATAACCTTTTTTTTCCTGCTCTTTCTTTCTAGTTTTATCTCTTGCATGTGTCTTTGTTAGTTTATTTCAAAATGCTTATGCTGTTTTTTTGTCTCACCTTTAACGTGTCACTATCACCTTAGCACCATTTATTTTCATGAAGCTTCTGATTGTCAGCACCATTTATTTTCATGGAGCTTCTGATTGTCAATTGAGAAAGCTTTGGTGAAATTGTATTGCTTGTGACCACATCAGGATAGTGTCCTGTTATGATTTTAATTTAATGGTGGTTAAAAATAATATTTTTAAATAGTTCATGTGTTATTGGCTAAATTAAGAAGCAGTTTATGAAATTTTTCTTTCAGTTGTGCATATGCTTCTTAATAACCTATAACCATCCTGTACTCCTTTTTCTCATAGAATATATTCCCAAGAAACCTGCTATTACCTGTTCCCTTGATATTTTTTGTGTGGGGGTTTGTTCCCCATTACCCTTGCTCCTCTGACTCTGATTCCTTCTTTTCCTGAAATTTCTGATTCTGAGGATTTTTATTCAAATGATATTCTGTCCTGACAGTCTTAGCTGCCCCTCTATAGGAAAACATGGGATTTGCATTATTTCTAATGCAAAAATTGTGTCTTCTGTTAGCTGGTTCCACCTCTGTTTCTGGAAGTTGTCCTCATCCTGTTCCAAATACTGTGATACAGTTTGAATCCTGTCATTTTTCTCTAATAGCTGCCAGGTAGTTGGACAATCATTCTGCAGACATCTGGAGTCTTCTCTGATTATCAGGATTTTAAGTAAAAAACAGTAGTAGAAAAAAGCGTTTTAATACCTACACCTCTTACTTCTGTCTATTAATTAGGTTGTTAGCTTGTTGTATTAATAAAGTCTCTATCTGAGGTCTTGTCAAGCCAGTAGCAGTCCTCGATAAACTTGCTCACTTTACCCGCTTCTACCATGTTTTGTGAATGGTTAGAGTTGAGTGTTTGTTTATGCTATTATTTTTATTTAGTCTCTGCTACAATTCTCTATCAATTTTTCTTTATCCTGTGCAATTCCACATTTTGTGATCAGATTGA